TGTTAGCTAGTGGCAAGCTCCACCCTCTGGTCTTCAGGAGCTCCTTATTAGTACAAACCAGATATCACCACAGTTCAGATACACACCATGCACATAATGGCCAGGCATTCCAGTGCTCTTACAAACACAGCACTGAGAAGGTGAAGACCGGTGGATCCCCAGGGCTCCCTAGCTGGCCATACTAGCTGAAAGGCCAGGGAGAAGATTCTGTCTCAAACAATTAGATGGAAAGCAATAGAGAAGGACACCTAGTGACCACCTCTGACCTCTGCTTGTATACCCGGGGGCAAGCACATCTGGTACACTCACACACACACTCAATTTGTGAAATATATTTAACATAACATACCATTTTAAAAAGATTTATTATTCATGTGGTGTGTGTGAGAGACAGACAGACAGACAGACAGACACACACACACACACACACACACACAGAGAGAGAGAGAGAGAGAGAGAGAGAGAGAGATAGAGAGAGTTGCCATATGTGTAGGTACCCTAGGAGGCTAGAAGGTCCTTTGAAGCTAGAGGTCTAGGAGGTGCTGGGAACTGAACTAAGGTCCTCTGGAATACTATCAAGTGCTCTTACCAATAAGCCATTTCTCCAGCCCACGGGACCATTTGAAGAGGTACAGTTCTGCGTGCACCAAGCACACTCATAATGTTATTCCACCATCAGCATTCATCTGCAGAACTTTCCCCGTCTGTCTAACTAAAGTCAGCATCCACACACCAACCCCCTATCCTCCTCTTTCTGGAGCTCATGCACATGTACACCGTGTGCAGGCCTAGTGCCCACGGAGGTGAGGATGGGAGTCGGAGCCTCTGTAACCGGACTCAGGCTGTTGTGAGCCACCACATGGGTGCTAGAAACTTAACCTGGGGCCTCTGCAAGAGCAGCAAGTGCTTTTAACTGCTGAGCCATCCTCTATCTCCCTTGGCTTTGTTAGTGAGACAGGGTCTGGACACATATAGCCCAGGCTAGCCTGGTACTCTCTCTGTAGCCAACAATGACCTCAAACTCTGAACATCCCTACCTGAGTCTTTTGACTGTTGGAATTACAACCCTAGATTAGCAGATCTGCCTACAGCCTAAGGAATGCACATCACCGGGTTTTGTTTCTTTAATCTGTATTGTTTCTTTAATTTGTATTTCTTAGGAGTCTTCTCTCCTAAACCTTTTCTTTGTAAGTGGATGGTCCAGCTGAAATGGACCTGATAATCTCCCAGGAGCTGAATAGAGAGAAGCCCATACTCCACCCCCTTCCCTGGGCCTGTCCCTCAGGTCGCTTTATTGTCTACTGAGCTTAGAAGGGGATAACCAAAGAGCCTGATTTGAAAATGTAAAAGGTGACTGGATGAAAGAAAAGCAGCGACAAAGGAGTATTTGGGGGTGGGAATCAGCAATCAGCATAGACCAAACGGGAGGTGTTCCTCTCAAGCCCCTCCTGACCGGTCCTCAGCAGGCAGAAAAGCACCTCACCCTGAGGTGGGTACTGGGTGGAGGGCAGGGTTAGTCCCGTTGTTTTCTCAAGTGAAAATGGAGAGTTACAGTGAATTTTTCCATATAACAGAAAAGGTTAGACCAGAGAATTGGGAGGCTCTCTGGCAGAAATACACAGGAGACCAAGGGTGGATTAGGTCATAAAAAAAAAAAAATCAAAGGCAAACACACACACACACACACACACACACACACACTAAAAATAAAAAAAAAATGAGAAGTCTGAAAAGGGAAACAGATTTGCCCAGAGCCACACAGCAAAGGGTAAAGGCAGAGAAAGCCAGTTCAGTAGTAACGACCTTGTTTGTATGCTTTCTGCCTCCCCATCTACCTCTGTAACAACCTGTGACAGCCTTCACCTGCCCTTCACCTTCAGTCACCATGGTCTGTGTCTTGGTGATGGGCACATGTGCTCAAGCACTTGAGTTTTGATCTAATGTTGTTCACCCTGCAACACCATACCCACAAAAATTACTCTGCCTCGTGACCTTGGAATGGGTCATGCCCACAGGAATGTGGCAGCTGTATTCCCTGCCTCCTGGGGGACATTGTCAAAGGAGGAAATCAGGATGGCCTGGCAGAACTGGCTGGGCCAGATCTCATTTCTTTCCTGACAAGGTAAGAAGTTCCAAACCCCCCTCCTCCCCCAGACAGGGCTTCACTGCATAGTTCAGGTTGGTCTCAAAGTCAGCAATCCACTCAGCCTCCTGAGTGCTGAGATTATATGTTATGTGTCACCACACCTACTCATTCTGTTCTTTTAACCCAGGCCTTACAAGTTGTCAAGGCCTATGTTCACTGTGGTTGATGGGACATACACTTGGTCTTTGCCCTGGTTTCTGGCAAAGGGCCCTTAAGGCTTTCTTACCTTTCTTAGCAATAGGGGTAGAAACTTTTGATCTCATATTTGACTTTGCTCCTGGCACACATTCCTTGGACTCTCCTTCAGGACAGGCATGTCCTTTGTTTTAGGAAGGTGACTTCTGGTGGACTCCTGGATGGAAGCTGGCCATTAGGAAGATGAAATCATGAGGAGAACCTAGGAACTTGCAGCCACCTCAACCCAGTCACGATAGGAGTGATGACGGATGAAAGTAAAGGTCTGGCAGATCGCAAATGGGTCACGTGTAATCAGCATCACAAGATGAAGCCTTCAAAACTTCCCAAAAGAACAGTGTTTGGGTGACCCTCCGGATAGATAACACAGGGAGATGTCTGAGGTGCACTCAGAGGTTTGGGGTTCCCTTTCCCTTCCCACAGGCTTGGCCCTGTGTGTGTGTGTGTGTGTGTGTGTGTGTGTGTGTGTGTGTGTGTGTGTGTGGTGTGGTGTGCGCATGCACACACGGATAGGCCAGAGGAGGACACTGGGTTTTTTCTCCTCTCTATAGCTGAGGTTATGCCAATGCCTGGCTTTTTACATGGATTCTGGGAATTAAAGTTTAGGATCTCATGCTTGCACAGAAAGCCCTCTTAGCCACTGAGCTATCTCCCTAGACCCAATACCTTCTATTACTACTTATGTTTATTATTGAACCCAGAGTTCACTTACACAAGTGCTCAACTTCTGAACTATTTCTTTCCTCTTTCTTTTTGTGTCTTCCTTCCGTCCTTTTTTTTTTTTTCCAGACATGGTTTCTCTGTGGCTTTGGAGCCTGTCCTGGAACTCTCTCTGAAGACCAGGCTGGCCTTGAATTCACAGAGATCCACCTGCCTCTGCCTCCAGAGTGCTGGGCTTAAAGGCCTGTGCCACCAACACCCGGCAACTACTGAGCTATTTCAGCTTCTTCTCTGTGTTTTTGAGACAGCATCTCACTAGTCTGTTCAGGCAGGCCCAGCATTTTTGTGGTCCTCCTGCATCAGCTCTGAGTGCCCAGGATTATAGGCCTGAACTACCTAGGCCTAGATGGAACTATCACTTTATAACAAACTGTAAACGTATGTCTCCCTGAGTTCTGTGAACCATCCTGGCAAATTAGTTGACCCTGCAGCAAAGATCCTGGGGATTTACAGCCAGCTGGTCAGGAGTGCAGGTCTTTAGCCTGGGGCATGCAATTCTGATTCCAGAGTGAGTTACACTAGAGAGAGCCCACACCTGGTGTCAGGTGTGAAGTGCTGAGAAAGGTGATGTGGGAGAAGGAAAATGCATCGTTTTTTCATTAGACTCTATGAGAGCACTGTCAAAAGTGCATCATGTTTGAAGGTCACATCTGAACATTTGCTATGGATGCTTAGGCCAGAAACCACCAGATTCCTCCAGTAGTGTGGCTAACCCCGTGGCCCTGGGGTGGCTAACCAATGTTCATTTTCCTTGCCTCATTGTTGTAGGACAGCCAGAACAGCATCTCCGATGTACTGACTACCTTTGGCCTGTTTCAAGTGTAATCAGCCAGCCTGTGAAAGGCTGTGGTGCCTGAGGACACACCTGGGATGTTTTAAGTACCTGATCACAACTAAGATGCCTTTCTAATAGTCCCGGGGTAATGAAGATATTCTAAAGATACACTAGTAGGGCTAAAGAGATGGCTCAGTGGTTAAGACCACATACTGCTCTTGCAGAGGACCCACATTGGTTCCTAGCAACCACTTCAGGCTACTCACAACCTCCTGTAATTCAAGATCAGGAGGATCTGCTGCCCTCTGCTGGCTTCCCCGGACACCTGCATGCATGTGCACATATACACATAACCATAATCCAAAATACAAACAAATCTTAAGTGAGAGGAAGACAATTCTGCCCCTTCCTTTAGGGATCACACCGTAGTGACAATGCACACCCAAGGAACTGGGATTTCCTCACGAATCTCATGCTGGAAGGAAAAGGCTAACTTGTCAGCCAGAGAGGAAATTTGTCTCCTCAGATAGATGACTTCAAAGGAGAGACTGGAGCTGAAGACAACAGTGATAGGTGGGACCACTCCTTGATAAGGACTATTTTGCAGTGCATATCTCCTGCCCTCTACTTAAACCTAAACATAAGGCAGGATGCTAAAGACTTGGGGGGGAAGGGCACAGAACCTCTTAAGTACCAAAATGAATAACTCCATTTCCTGCTTTTCACTATGACTTGCTTAACTGGCTTATTGAGGGCTGGTGGCTCTTAGGTTCTGATCCCTTAACTCTATAACACTAGTTTAAACTTTCTGGGCTGGCAAGAAACCCAATATGGGATAATAGCATGTAACTTACACTGTGACTACTTTGCACAGATAGCTCTCAGATAGAAACAGCAGACTGTGGCCAGAGAACTGCTAGGGACAATTTTATTTTGAACTGGGAAGAGATTCTATGTAGTGAGTACCTGTGAGGTATTGGTCATTAGTTTAACCATATCATTTCTTTTAAGCTTACAATAGTCTCTACATGTTATCTTCCCATTGCCAGATAAGAAAAATGAAGGTCCTATGAGGAAACTTGTGATTGCTTGGAGGCATGTGTAGCCTGTTGCTGCCCTCTTCCCCCACTACCCAGACCCTTTAAATTAGAAGAGAAACCACAGTTACAAAGATAGGGTCATTTATTTATGTTATATTACTGCATTTCAAAGGCAAAAATACAGATGTCTGTTCTGAACATCAAGGTCAGACACAGCTCCCCCACACCAGCCCTTAGGCCCAATGGTAAATACACACATTTGCATACACAGCATATCAAAGTACATACACAGCATCACAGGTATCTAGAACAGCCTAGTGGTCAGTGCGGACCCTGCCAGGCTGGAGGCCAGTGCAGCATTTCCTTTGACTTTCTATGTCACTGGTCTTTCCCAAAGCCACTCTACACAGGTCACCAGCAAAAATATAGACAGAACGGCACAGCATGTGACACCAGGGTCTGAAGGAAATGCTCCCTGACTCCTCAATCCCCCAGCCCCCAAAGAGGATGCCGACAACTGCATCTCCTGGGCAGGGCAAATGTCCAAGCCCAGCAGTATCTTAGCTGTGCACTGGGCCCAAGGTGCCCTGGAAAATACTGGAAGGTGGAGGAACAGGCAAGACAATTTCCCTTGGTTCTGTACTTGAACCACATTTGACATGAACAAAACCCAAGAGGAACAGCATCGAGAAAAGGCAGTTTTGCTTTAGGAGCCAAGGAGGTGACTCAGAAGACACCACTCAGCATCTGTCGCCCTTCTTTTAAGGCACTTTAGAAAAGTCAGGATCTGGGGACAGAAAACAAAAGTCCTCTCCATTTCCCCAGAGTCCTCTCAGCACAGCCAGTCTGTTTTAATGGCTTTCTAGAGGAATGGGGAATCTAGGGAGCACAGATCTTGCACAGCCTGACTGCTTTGGCTGGGAATAACAGTTTCTAATCCACACGTTAAAAAAAAAAAAAAAAGCTTCTAGGAAGAGCAGCAAGTTAGGCACTGTGCTGCTCAAAGCAACAGAGGCACAGGCAGGATCAGCCATCCCTCCTCTCAGCATCTAGACACAAGGAAGAAAAGGGCTTAGCTCTGGGATTAGACTGCTAATCTTAGGATCTCAACCCAGGTTGCATCTTTCAAGCTCTCCTAGCTTGATGGTCCCAAGGCCTCCCGTTATCTCTCCCAGGCACTGCCTATCAGCACATGTAAATTTGTGAATGACCCCGTGGATTAGACTGAGGAGTGGGAGCACCTACTAAAACCCTGAGTGGTGATGAGGGACTTTATAGGCACCAGGATTCTTAGGAAGATGGAGGTGTGCATTCTGGTGAACTTTCTAGACCTCTAATTAAAAGGCACAATCATGCTGGAGAAAGAAGTCTGACCCTGAGTGCCACAGGACACTGTAGGGAAGGAAGCAGAGTGGAAAGGGAGAAGAAGAAAGAGCAGGAGGGAAATAAGAACTGGTTACTTAGGGTAGGTCAGGAGTGTGGTATGAGGCTCTGAGGGGCGGTGAACAACCTGACTGCTAGGATTTTTAAACCCCACAGCCTAGGCCCTGAGAGGTCAGTTCTGGGAGGCTGAGGGTCCCTCCACCAGGCTCACCTGGGGGAGTGGAGGGAGAGCTCTGCCAGATAGGCAGAGGCTGTCTCCCAAGTGCCTGACCCAGAGGTCTGGAGGATGATGTTGACCTTTAGGCATTGATCTCATCAGGGGACCTGAGGGTAATTTTGCTCTGCCTGTCAAATCAGAGGCTCATTTGTGACTACTACAGCATACATTATTTTATCCCTAAAAAATACTCAGTTCCTTCCCCACATTTTAAAATACAATAAAAATACATAGGAAATTCAAGTTTACATGGCATGCCTAGAAAAATAAATTGTCATGACTTAACACTCAATAGCTATTCTGATTTGGATCAACACAAAATCAAGCTATAGCATAATTAGAAGATTTTGATTTATTCTTTAAAATACCACAAACTGCTTCTTAAAAAACAAACAAACAAAACTCTCCAAAACTTTACATTCAGAAATCAGACAGGGATCTGGAGACAGGCCATGTGGATGAGAGGTCCCAAGGCCCTGCTCTGAAAGCAAGGCCTCAGATTCCACATACTAACAGGGCACGAAGTTCCAGGCTCAAGTTTTAAAATTCTTTTGCTAAGAAAACACACACACACACACACACACACACACACACACTGATTGTAATAGTTGCATACCAATAAGAGAACATAGGACAGGAACAGAACATGAAACTGACTGAAATTTTGATTTTTGTATAAAAAAATTCAAGAGTATCACATGAATCTGAACCCAGCAGCAGTCTTCAATTTGTCGTGAAGTATGAACATCACAGATTAAAGCGGAGTTCTTTCCCATTTCACAATTTAGCAGTTTTAACAGTGGGCATGTGATCCACAGTCACTAAGTTTTAACTCGTGTACTGTTCCGTTTCTTTGGAGGTGGCATGATGGGCATGTCCCAGAAGCCTGAAAAGGCTGACCATTTTTTTTACGCTGACAAACACCTTGCAGAATTTCACCCAGTGCCAACCCAGGGCAGGGGCAAATGTTGCATTCACCATGGGCATTTGGAAAGGTGTCTGAATGACAGCAAGGAAAACTCATTCAGATTGTACAAATGAGAGGGACCAGCCCGGTCGACTGGCAGAGACACACAGCTGAGGCCCCTGGCCATTTTCAGGTCTCTTATTTGTTCCAAAATGCTATCTAGGTGTCCCGATGTCCACTGTGATTTTGGTATATAGTGGGTATCTCTCTATGTCTAACACCTGGTAGGTAAGTGAGTTCAAACCATCAAAGCGCATAGTTTCTCTTGTGTGGGCAATCCGGTCAAACCTACCAGGAGAAAGAGTGCAAAGGATTAGGGTTAAATCATAAGTCTTAAGAAACTGGTCAACATCTGAACATCTTCCCCAGCAGCCCCTGCCCAGGATGGTCACCACAGATGGAATTCCTCTACCTCACTGGAGGGACAGGGCCCTGAGTGAAGCCTGATTGCAGCCTGCCCCACTTGAAAGGAGGGAGAGTGAGTAAGAATGAGCGGGAGGCTGGAAAAATGGCACTATGGTGGATCACAACTCCAATTCCAGAGGACCAGATGTCCTCTTCTGACCTCCGAGGGCAGCAGGCTCACAGGGAGTGCACATACTTACATGCAGGCAAAACATTCATATACATAAAAGAAAATAAATCTAACATAAAAATAAATAAAAAAAGAACACACAGAACATACCTCTGAGGATTGGGCTCATTTTTCTTGTCTCTTGAGTGTCGTATCATGCGACACCTTCCAACTACAGCATTTGGGCGTGATATAGACATTCCCCTATGAACTATTCTGCAAAGAGTAAACAGAGTCATTAACATAGTTCTCATAAGGTTATGTCTAGTAGCTCAGCTACAAGATTGTGGGCTCTTCCATAGACCTAAAAGCTGCTCGCCAAGCCCAACCCTTCAGCATATGCTGGCACACAGCCCAAGAAGACTTCACTTAAAATTTAGACTTCCCCAATATCCTGAAATGACAGATTTATAGTGTTTGACTTATTCAGGCCCCAAATCAAAGCAGCATCAAATATCCAAGTTAAGGGGGAGACTGGACAATCTGGATGGGCTGCAAGTCTGTGGCAATGTTTTCCCTGTAGGCTCATCTTGGTGTCTGGCATAGAGTAAGCAGGTACATAAAGCTTTTCTCTCGCTCCCCATCTTTCTAGTCTTGCTCTCAATGCCTCCTCCCTCCCCAACCTTTCTGACCATCAGTCCCGTGCACTGCCACAGCAGTCCAGAGGACTTGCCCAGGTAAGGTTCTGCGGAAGTAGGTGTGCCTGTCTGAATCCCGTGTCAAGGTTCTTTGCATCTTCCCTGCTGGATGGGCCTTGCCGTGCTCTGTATGCAAGAGATGCTCAGTTTGTGCAAGCTTGGTAACAAGCTTGCACACTCTAATACTCAAGTATTTTTCAATGCCCTTAGTAAGGACTTGGAACTTTGGCAAGTTCTCACATAGTGGTAACCTTTAATGGTATGGGTGCTGATCCAACAGACACCTTCTGTTAACTCATCAAATGTATCCCAATTCAGGTAATGGGTTCAGACTGGCTCCTAGGTGGATTTTACCACCTGTAACTACAGGAGACAGGTCTGCCAGTTTTAAAAGTGTTTGGGGATGTGGATGTGGTAAGACTGGCCACAGCATAATGAGCATGGACCAGGTTCCACACAGGCTCACTAAACTATTGTCTTTGCTTTTTTTTTTTTGAGAAAGGGTCTCACTAGGTAGCTCTGGCTGCCCTGGAACTCACTCTGTAGATCAGGCTTACCTCAAACTCTGCCTCCTGAGTGCTCCACCATGCTTGGCTGATGAATTTTATTTTTAATTATTATTATGTGCATGTATGTTTATGCACATCTGAGTGCAGATGCCTGCAGATCCCAGAAAAAGGTATTGGACTGTCTGGAGCTGGAGCTGCAGGCAGTTGTGAGACACCCAAACAAACCTAAGATGGGTGCTGGGAACAAAACTTGGGTTCTCTGCAAGAGTAGTACGTGCTTTTAACTGCTGAGCTACCACTCCAGCCCCGTACTCTGTCTTTTCTTATCCGTGGTTAAAATAGTCCAAAATAAAACTATGGAACAGAGATTCTGTGGAAGGAAACTTGCTTTACATTAACAAGGGACTACAATGAGATGCAAAGTCTTCTTTTAAAAAGAGCCTCAAATCTGGGGACTCTCTTGTCCTTATGTCCCATCTCACCAGAGAGTGCTGAGGTCACAGATGCAGTCGCTGCCACATCTGGCTTTACACGCTTCTGAGTTCAAGTCTCATGCTTGCAAGGGGAGTGAGTGCTTTACCCACTGAGCCACCTCTTTGGTCCTTTCACACAGGACACTGAAAGTCCACATAGGAAGTCAAAGTAACCCTGCCCTTCCATTCCCCACAGCTGTTCTGAAAAATCCCAGAAACTTGTTTTTCTAAAGACTCTGCTAAGCACCTGTAGGACCTACAAGAGCATGGACCTAAGCACAGGGGCTGAGAGGGGATTACTCCCTCCTGGGTGCTAATCGTTCCAGAATAACCAAGTACTGACTCAAAAACTGGAAGGAAAGCCAGAGAGACCAGAAAGAGATAGGAACTGTAAGCATTACCTGTTAAAAATGTCATCATCTTCTCCTCCCCAGCCCCAATAATTATTAGGAAATCCATTAATGGCAAGAAACTGTTCTTTACTGAGAGCAGAGACGCCTCCAAAGTACTGCACGTAAGGCAGGCTGGGGAGGAAGCACATATACAGAGACCCGTGGTTAGTAAGCTCGGCCCCAAGTATGACAGGAATTTACCAATGTTTTCCCCCTTGGAGACAAGGTCTATGTATCCCTGGGTGGCCTACAACTCATTATGGAGACCAGGCTGGCCTTGAACTCACAGAGATCTTCCCACCTGTCTCACAAGTGCTAGGATTAAAGGCACCTGGCCACGAGAATATTTTAGAAGTTTTTTCTTAGGCACGTGAGGAAATCTTTGTTTAATCTGCCCCCCCCTCCCCTTTAAAAACCCAGTTTACTTGGCACCATTTTTCCAAATCCAGCCCCTAACCAAAATGGTTCCTTTGGTGTTTAACTTGCCTTTATATCAGGATTCAGATTATCGTAGAAGCAGATAAGTAGAATCTTTTTTTCCCCCTAAGAATATAGTACTGCACCTATGGTTTTATATAGAAACCCAGTAAGTTACAGGGAGGTTAAGCAGCTCCTCTACTGTGGCTCTGGAAACAAAGAAGTCCTCATTCAGGTGGCCCTGCTTTTTTGTTTTTCTTATCTACCCTTCTCCCAAAGGCACAAGGTTTGAACACTGACCCTAACAATGGCAGCTACATCTCTGGAAACTACCTCAAATTTTCTACTTTATCCCAACATAACTAGATGATAAGCCTACTTTTCTACATTTCCAAGTACTGGGACACTGGGAGCTTTTGTCCTTTTATACCCTTTTATACCTTAACATCTTCATGGTTAGGAAGGATGGACTCTGCTCCAAAGATCTGTCCAAGGGTTCTCGAAAGGCTTCAGTTTCCTATTACCCTAACACAACTCCAAATTATACTTGGGTTCCTACTGAACTCCAAAGAGACGGAGAATCATCATATAAACTAAGGAAAAGAGCAGCCAAACCACACAGAACACACACAACTGAAGATCATCACACATACACATCACACACCCTGTCTTGGTCTCACTCACTAAGTCGCCTAGGATATCTCTGAACAGATGGCCCTCCCAACCTCAGCCTCCCAGTTGCTACAATTACAGGGACAGACCACCCCAACTGGCTTGGAAGGACTATTTTTCAAAGATCCCTGAGGTTCTGCTTAGATGAATCTGAAGCAATGAATTCAGATTTAGATACTATCACCAAGGGATCAAATCATCCATTTTTGGCACACCTCACACACATTTCCTTTGGGGAGGGGTGTCAAATACAGAACAGGGCCTCAAGCATGACAGGAAACTGCTCTATCACTGAGCTATATAGCTTCAGTTCCTACGCCTATACCTTTAATGTTGGTTAAAAGCAAAGGTGCTAGACTAATAATAGGTCTTGTTAACCTAGAAATAGATTACTATTTCAGTGGAAGTACATGGTATCTTGACTAGATTCAATTATGCTATCTCAGTGATTTTTCTTATCTACCTGCTCTATTTGCCAAATATGACAGGTGTTCACAAGCCACCGTCACTATTACGGCAATGACTCAGTGGTTACTTGGGTCTCTTAAAGAGACAAATAAGTAGGGTCAGAGTACAAACCTGTTAAAGGGAAGACATTCAAAAAGGAAGGAAGGAAGATAAGTGGGCACGGATTCATTCCTGAGCAGTCTAAATGTGACACTCTGTTTAGACCCCAAACAGCTCTGACATAGGGAGACCTATGTTCTATGTGGTTCTATAGCTCTCATGTCCCCATCAAGCGAGGGAGGAAGAGAGCACAAGAATAACCTAGCCTGACAGCATCTGTATTCACACAAAGGCGATCTATCTACATAGGCCAGGTATACTAGGATCCAGCCTAAACCCAAGGACCTGCAGAACAGCTTCCTGAAGCTTCATATTTACTTAAAGAAAGATATCAAATATGATATAATTCAAAAATATTCTGATTAGTGAAAACAAGAATGTCAACTGTGAAACAAAAATGTATATTTATTTACTTACTGATTTTTTTTTTTTTAAAGACAGGGTCTTACTATGAACCTCTGGCTGTCCTAGAACTCAGTGTACACACACACACACACACACACACACAGCCAAGCTAGCCTTGAACTGTAGAGATCAACCTGTCTCTGTCTCTGGAGTTCTGGGATTTAAAGGTATACACTTTCATACACACATATACTATGTCTGGTCCTTTGACTTTTAAGACTGAACAACTGACTGTAAGGCTATATTTTACATATGTCAATAATGTTTGGATCGCACTCCTGCCCCTGGGGACAGGAATATTTGCCATCTTCACTAGCACTTTGATAGAAAAGTTAGAGCCCCATGTTTGAGCAGAAGTCCAAGTTCTTCTTGGAAACTGAACCACATTTCTTTGACAATGCCAAGATATCCAATCTCTAGAATCAGTGTGTATTTTGGGGGTCCACACTGCTTCCCAAACTGTAAAGGTGAGGAGAGTAGAAGGTGAGGAGATCCAGCTGTGGGTCTGTTGGGAGCCCAAAGATAAGGTCCGTGCCTAACACTAAGAACTGTTATCAGGATACACAGTGACTACAGGCACTGCTGGACTCTCCTTCCTCAGAATAAAAAGCAACCATGTCTCAGAGCCTAGGGGCACTCTAGAAGAACTACATTTTTTTTTAGACCACACCTAAATTGTAGCACGTTTGCGGCAGGCTCTTGCTGGGTATGTCTTACCTAAACCCAAACTTGTCCATTGCAACAGAAATGTGCCGTGGCTGTGAAAAACACCTGTAGGCATTATGGTCATCCATCGGAATGAGGTCCACATCACTGAACACAAAGCAGTTGTAGTCATGGTCCTTCAAGGCCTCTTGAAAGCCAATGTTGAGGAGCTTAGCTCGATTGAACATGGTTTCTCCAGCCTGGTACAGAGACAGAAGTGGTATGAGAATGCCCAAGACCTTTAAAGAGAACACTCACAGGATCAATGTCTGCTACACCTGGTCATTAATTAACTAGCCAGCCTCATTTTCCTGCCCTTACTGCACAAATCAGTCCCGAGTGTCAACTCAACCATCTGAGTCAACAATCCCATTTCCAGGAATCTTCTCAGAAGAAGAGCTTACATAAATGTGACAAACTGTAAATAATATTGTTCACTCTTAAGTGAGCATCACAGCATCAGATGGCAACAGTTACAGACATAAGCATCCCTGGGAAACGGTTAAACAGCTCATTCACAGCCACATAGTAGAGCTGATAAAATAAAAAACAGTAAAATAAAAGGGCCAGGTGTAGTGACACACACATGTAATTTGGCACCCAGGAGCTTGAAGTATGTAGAATATGAGTCTGAGAGCACCTAGGGCTAAATAGAAAATTCTAGAGTAGCTTGGAACATAATAAGACTGTTTTAAAGTGTGTGTGTGTGTGCCTCTAAAAGAAAAGGTGAAAAGGCATTTAAACATATGTTATTTATATTATTACAAATAGACTCCAGGAACAAAACACAGGAATTAGTGAAAATTAGGTGCCTCTTCACTTCCACTCTATTACAGCCTGGCAGCCGTAGGTTTGCCTGGTCATCAACTAGATGCTCCGGGAAGGTGGTGAAGCCCACTCAATCCTCACCCTCATGCTAACAGTGTATAGCAGGAAGCACTTGGATACACATGATAGTTAGGAACAAAGCACCTACTTAGGTCCAGCTGATGGGCCCATGTCACCAAGTCTGATGGCACAAAAGATCCTTTCACATTTTAATGACTTACCTTGTTTAGTTCTAGTATCGTCCATGAAAATATAAGTGTGATAAAGAACTTACACTTTGTTTTTTTTTTTTTTTTTTTTTTTATTCACTTAGTGCCCCACTGTCATGAAACAAAAATGTAATAGTTGCTGTCAAGCTGGATGGAATGATGGATGGAAGGATGGGCAGACAGACTGATGGACAGGTTTCAATGTAAGAAGGCAAATGGTGGCACTTTCTGTAAAGTTCCAACCAAAGCAGCTCCTTGTGGGTACCTCTGGGGGTGTCCGCTCTGACCAACTCCTGGGACCCAACATTAGCAGAGATGGTCCCAACATCTACCCTGCTGCCCTTTAAACTGAGCAGCTCACAAAGCCCTTCTTGAACATGTGCTTTCATTCTGACCTCGCAGTGCCACGAAGCAGTGCAGGCCCCACACTTTGGAATAATCACTCACTCAACTCACTAAGCCCTTTTCCCTGAAACTCTCAAGATCAAGAGACTGGGGCCTCCACTTTGAGTATTGCTGTCCCACAAGGGCCTGTAGTCTATAGATGAAAACTCCTCTCTCCTCATGCCTGGATGAAAACTTGGAACCTGGTACTCCACAGGTAGATAACATAGAAACAAGCTACTTAGAGAAGGCAGGTACCAGGAAGTCAGAAAACAATGAGTGAATTAAGAAATTACTTAGCACACAAGAGCTCCTTTCTCCAGCCCTAACAAAACCCTTCAACTAAGCACAACGAAAGAAAGTTCTGCCCAAAGGAACATTGTGTTCTTTGGCTGCTCTATCATAAAAAGTTGATCAGAAATCCTGGGTTCAATTAATTCCATGTAAGCCATGGGGCAAAAGTCCAAAAGTAGAAACTGAGTAGGAAAACTAAGACGTTATTAGGACTACTGTTACTATAACAACATATTGCTAATGTCCACTGGGGAATGCCATATTCAAGGCACAGAGTAATTGTTTCTACCCTTGTGGTCCATGGCTTGATCATTTTGACAGTCTTTTAACAAACATTGTCCCAACCCAAATTACACTTTGAGACACAAAGCCCCAATGATCACTTTTCTAACAAGTGAAAGGGATGTATTCCCAAAGCCTTTAACCCCTCTGGAGTATGCTCTAAGGGTATACTAACCCCTCTGGAGTATGCTCTAAGGGCACACTAACCCCTCTGGAGTATGCTCTAAGGGTACACTAACCCCTCTGGAGTATGCTCTAAGGGTACACTAACCCCTCTGGAGTATGCTCTAAGGGCACACTAACCCCTCTGGAGTATGCTCTAAGGGCACACTAACCCCTCTGGAGTATGCTCTAAGGGCACACTAACCCCTCTGGAGTATGCTCTAAGGGTACACTAACCCCTCTGGAGTATGCTCTAAGGGTACACTAACCCCTCTGGAGTATGCTTAAGGGTACACTAACCCCTCTGGAGTATGCTCTAAGGGTACACTAACCCCTCTGGAGTATGCTCTAAGGGCACACTAACCCCTCCGGAGTATGCTCTAAGGGCACACTAACCCCTCCGGAGTATGCTCTAAGGGCACACTAACCCCTCCGGAGTATGCTCTAAGGGCACACTAACCCCTCCGGAGTATGCTCTAAGGGCACACTAACCCCTCTGGAGTATGCTCTAAGGGCACACTAACCCCTCTGGAGTATACTCTAAGAATATACTCCCATGATCTGCGGTGGGAGTTCCTGGTGGCCTTCTCTGTACCACAGGACCTGCTGGCAATGGCTGTTTGATCTAAGCATTGCCTGACACTAGCAGTGTACACTTTCTAGGAGCTAAAAATTTGGAACTAGGCCACAAACAATTGCAGCCTGGAGAAGTCCCAGCAGACCTGCTTCAGCCAGTTTACCTAGGGGAGTGAAACAGACCTCCTTCAAGTCAGAAAGGACCCTGGTGTCTGGACCCCATTTAGAACATGTCAGACAATTTTCCAAATAACCTGAACCACATCCTTCCTCCTATGCCTCTTTTCCAACTCTCCTCACCTGTATGAACCAGAAAGAAAGGAAGTACATAGTACATGCTAGCAGATGGGCTGCAGTCCACTAGGAACCTGAAACAGGAAGATGGGCAGTGTGTGTGTGTTCCTCTTCTTGCCTTGAGGCTGCAGAAAGGTAAAGAATTTTCTAGGTTTCTTTGGGTGAGATGCTTAGCAAACCCAATTATCTTTTTTTCTCCCTCTTTTTTTTTTTTTGGGGGGGGGCAACCAGGGTTTCTCTGTGTAGTCCTAGCTGTCCTGGAACTCTGTAGACCAATCTGTCCTCAAACTCAGGGATTCGCCTGCCTCTGCCTTCTGAATGCTGAGATTAAAGGCCAATGCCACTACATGCTGGCTTCCAATTATCTTTTTCTAAAACTACTTCACCTGTTTAGAGGTGGGAAGACACCCTTCTCCAAGCCTCATTCCTACCCCTCCTCACACAACCCTTCGCTACTTCATTCAGTCAAGTGCAAATTTATCAAGCACCTAATGCCAGACCAGGCCAAATACACAACTGAGACAAGACACGCTTTCATTCTAGTTTCTCCATTTCTAGACAAGTGAATGGGTAGATCATACCTCTGGCCTCTGTTTCCTGCTCCTGCTTTGTTACATGGGGATGATACCAGGTGAGTTGTAATAAATAATGTGTAGGGCATGAAAGGCTTAGTACCCTACCTACAATTCAGCTACTACCACAGTTATGGAAATGGGTTTTTCGCCTGTCTGGAACTATCAGACTATCGAAATGATTCTTGAGTCCCATGGCTGTTCTCTGGCATCCCTGAAAACTCCATCTCCTTTAGTGTTTACTTATGGCCTTTCCACCAGCTTCAAGAGTCAATTCCTGCTTCTCTGACAGATAGGGAAATTCTTAAAAGGATTGGGTTTAACTGAGTCAACCGGTGGCTGCATGATTAAGACTCCAGCATTAGAAGTAAGACCTTTAGAGACTGAGGTACATGGGAATGAACTGGGGAAGTCTGGGGAAGAGAAGCTTCACGCCAAAGCAAGCGTCTCTTTAAGAGATGATTTGGCTTTCTTCCCCTCTTCTGTTTTTTGGTATTTTGAGACAGGATCTTACTGTGTAGACCAGGCTAGCCTCAAAATCAGCGACTGAGTGTTGGGATTAAAGGCATGCACTACCACCATGTCCAGCATGATCCAGTTTTTAAAAGTGGGCTTCTTCTCACAGCTCACATTGCTAGGCAAGACTTATATTTACCCTTTCCTAACTAAAGGGAGAAACGGAAAGAAAGGCCCAAAATTGCTCAAATTTCTAAGTGGCTGAGAAGATGCAAATGAAAGCAGACTCTGGGAATGGGGATGGAGTAGGGTGTGGTGGGGTGAGGTGGGGGTGGGGTGTGTGCACAGGAAGACATCAGATGGAAGAGTACTTGTAAAGGCTGTGAAGAAATAGGCACATTTTTGAAATTACAAGAAATTCAAAAAAGAGGTAGAGGTGGACCTCATCGCAGGCAGAGAGGAAGGTGGGCCCTTGTTGGGGCAAAAGGCCTTCACTTCATCTAGGCCACAGGGAGCCTTACACTATGTTTTGCATATCAAGGGACATTGGTGTCTCAATCCAAGTAAAGGCAGGGAGATCAGTCTAATTGAAAAGCTGTTTTATGATTTATGCAAACAAGGAAAGCCTAGGAAGTGATGATGAGTAAGTTTTGAACTCCTCCTCTTGGGCTCAGGGTAGGGACTCCACTCCTTCTAATGTCCCTGTCCCTACTTTTAAGAGCCTTTTGAGGGAGGGGCCAGGACAGGTTCCAAAGTCTAGTCTATAGTCTTCAGGAAAATTGTAAGGGCAGCTAAGGAGGGCTAGAGTAGACTTCCCTTGATTGTCCCAACAGCCTCTAGGAAGAATATTCATTCTGTCCAACCGTGTTCTGCCTTCCAGGAATGCAGGCCCATGTATGTCACCAGAAGCTATATCCTGAGAACTGGATGGACTGGGGATATACCACACATGCCTCTCCTCCAGCAAAAGACAGCAACAACAAAGTTGCTCCCAAGATTCTCTATGAATCAGATGGGAGAGATCTGATTGCTGTGGCCCCATTACAAAGCCATCCTCATTCAGACAGTTAGCCCCAGATGCACTGCAGTCAATGGCACTTGCTGACCAAGCCCAAGTGTCTGTGTTTCCTCAGATGCCAAGAA